GAATGTTTACTAAATTGTAAATTTTAAGCTCATTAAGACGCACTGAGCCTAATAAAGGTAACAAGAGAAAATGCCACAAATACGCATAATTTCATCTTCTTATAGGACCCATCCATGCTTAGAAATTATATTTATAAGATATTTTTATATTAATGATAAAACACTTTAGCCTAAGATGCATTATATAATATAGATTGAATGAGAAAGATTTGGGTAAATGATCCTTTCATTTTCCTTTTTTCTCTTTTTCTAAAATTAGCATGTATGAAATATTAATATTATTAAAGTAAAAATATTAAATAATTAATTGAGTACATTGTTCACATTCAAATGGCCTATCATAAAATGAAAATTCAGTTTAGGATATGTCACCATAATAAAGCAAAAATGAACCCATGTGTGTCTATTTTTTCTAAACTTGATTGAAGTAGTATCTGTCAACTGTATTTGTAATTTAAATACTATGGACAAAACCCTGATGGGTGAATAGCTTTCCACTGAAAAAATGATAAGAAAGCCCGATTATTATATGCTTCTCGCAACTCATTTATATTGATACATGTTGGGAGCAATACAGGAAGATCCTTAAATTCATAGATCTACAATGGAAAAGGTGAAAAACCTGTTCTTTCACCCAGAAAGCTGAGATCTGGAAGGCTTTAACAGCCTGGTATTTGTTATCTGTTGGGCCAGGCCATATCAACCTCTTAAAATCAGCACCAGAAAATCATACTCCAACCAAGGACTATTCGTGGAGATGACCTGGAACCCCTGCACAGGTGTAGCCCATGGCAGTTCAGTGTCCAAGTGGTTTACATAGTAATGGGAAGAGGGACTGCCTCTGACATAATCTGATTGGCCTGCTCTTTGATCACTTCCCCCTGAGGGGGGAGCAGCCTTACCAGGCCACAGTAGAGGACAATGCAGCCACTTTTGATGAGAACTGATAGACTAAGATCAGAAAGAAGAGGAGAACCTCCCCTATCAGTGGACTTGGGGAGTGACATGCATGCAGAAAGGGGAGGGAGGGTGGGATCGGGAGGGGAGGAGGGAGGGGATTATGGGGGGATACAAAATGAATAAAGTGTAATTAATAAAAAAAAAATCAGCACCAGAGGTGGCTAATAGCTCAAATGACTTCTATGCTATCTGTATGACTGAGACCAGGCCAGACCCTTAGGCACTTAAGTTAGTATAGCTAGCATATCTCCAGAACCCTTCTTTTGGGAAGAAATCACACATACAGTGCATTGAGTTTCAAGGTAATTACATTTCTTGTGCATTGGTGATTGTATTACAGGAAACTTTTTTTTTTTTCCAAATTATACTGTGTTTAAATAAACCACCTGGCTTTAGACTCCTTGAAGTATGCTCCAGGTTGACAAATCAATCTGCTCCGGGTTCTTACCTCTTCCAGAAGTTAGCTTACTGCATAACTCCTGTAGGGACTCCCTTAGCTACAAATAAGTAACTTTCTGTTTAAAACCACAGAATACTTTTTAGAACATGAAGATTGTGTGTTTGCTAATCAATTAAAAAAAGAGGTAAATGTAACTCCTTCTATTTTTTATCTTTTACTCTTTCTGTTTAAACAACTCCCAGGTCATCCATATGCCAGCATAACGTAATTATTAAAAAACATATAATGATTTGATTTCAGTTTATATTAATTACAGTTTGTCTATAATTGGTGATAAAACTGTTTTTGTATTTTTTTCAGGAACCACTGTTTTCCTTATACTGTATGGAAGAAAAATACAGATTGTGGTACTCCAGAGGATAAAATAGAGAAGCAGAAGTAAAGTGTAATTCAATGGAATTTTCATGCTATAGCAGAAAGATGAAGTTGCATAGTCCCCTGCTTTCTAAAACAAAGTATTGGGTAAATAATTAAAAAGCTCATGTCATTTAAATGTGTCTGTGATACTCAATAGACACACGTATGCAAAGTTAGTTTATGAGGTTGGAAATGTGTAAATGATGCATTGTCCTCTCATAAAGCTTCTTCCGGTGGGTTTCACAAGCAGATAGAACAAAAACGGAGAGTAATTGAAAAAGTAGGCTCAAGGTACTGTCCTCCAACCCTTGAATATGCTTTAGTCTAGAATTTGCAACCTGTGTGGGATAGAGGCTTCTGGACCTCTGTGATAATTTTAATTATTTAGGTTTCCAAGCGTTCTTTGTCTTTTTATGTTTATCAGCTGTTTTGTAAATAAGACAGCTGGAGTGGTAGGGGTAAAGTGAGAGAAATCCACATAGAATCCCCCTCAGAATTTTCCTTCCTCTGTCTCCACATCCATCTCACCTTTGATGCCCTTTTTAAAATTTATATGAATGAACTACAGTGTAGTCTAAGAAAAGACACACAGTTTTAGCAGAAAGCATTATTTGCTAGTAACCACTACTTTTCTTCCTTCTCCCCCCGAGCTTCCTTGAGCATGGGATACACTCTTCATCTTAATGACTTTGGGTTTGGCCGTGGACCCTGGTATAATTTGTGGAATGAGAAGAGAAATTATACACCCACTTAAAACCAAAGGTATTTTGTGCCTGCTTGCTTTCTCATTCTTGCACACTTCCAAGTGGAGGGTGTGGGGCAGATGGCTGGTAACCATAGATACTACCAGAAGAAATTATAGGGGAAAACCAAACCACTCCACAGTCTAAACCCAAGACAACTTTCTTTCAATCTCAGGAAAGTCCAAAGAGACAAAGATAATTCACAAGTTCATGTGCAAGAAAGACTATCATAAGCATATACGATTTTGGTATTATTTGTTATGTAGACTAATTGCAAATAAAATAAGACAGAGACAATCCTGGGTCAAGAAATTCAGTACTTTGTGCTAAGAGTAGAGTTTGGATGAACTTTCAATCCAGATATTCTCTTACCCTTGCTGAAGTTGTACTGTATGAATACAAGTGTATGGCAGAAAAATACCTAAAGCTAATCATGAGTTTTTAGATTTTTAGTTTTTAGATGTTTATACTTGAACTAGATATTAATTTTAAAACACAAATGGCTAAGTACCAACTCTTCTACTCATGATGCAAGCATATTCCTCTTAAGGATGACTGCTTTTCCACATTGAAAATTGATGACACAATGTTGAGATTTGAATTTAAGAGAAAGTCTTTGGATAAATGAGTTTTGCCTTTAAGCAAATGGACCTATTCTGTGCATGAGATAGACCCGGAAAAATAAGAAAAGAATGAAGTTTTTGAATAACTTTGCTAAATTTTTAGCTGGAGGAAGAGAAGCAAACACAGAGCCCTTTTTGTTTGCTTTGTTTTGTTTTTGTTGTCCTTTGTTTTGTTTTTCTGATTTCTGGGATTTTATTCATGAAACAAAATCACCTCTAGTCTGTTGCCACGTCCCTCTTTTAGTCTCAAAAGTCAGAGGCTTAGGTTTCCTAATCAGAAGTCTTGGAGCTCTTGGGCTTTGGCATTTTAATCTGTCAGTCTTATGGATGTCTCAACCTTAAGAAGAGCCTTAAAGCACTCTGTCTTCCTTCATCCTGTGTTGGTGATGACTCGACTGTCACACCTGTGTGCACCATCCTTGACTTCTGCCTTTCCTTTTATCCTCTTTAATCCCCATTTTCCATCTTAATTTATTGATTTCTTCTCATGCCTTTTTAACTTTCCCAGTCCTGCCCCACTCTGTGTCTTGAATACTTCTCTTCTGTGTCCCATAACATCCATTAAATTCTAAAATAAAGCATATTCTGTCTTTTTTCTTTTTTATATTTGAGCTACATAACTTATAGCTTGAATAAGTTATTTCCAGATAGCTGAAGAATAAGATAGACATGAGTACATTTTGTTTACTACTGGATCATGAAGTTTCCACTATCACCCAGACTCCTTAGAACATTTATAAACAAACTCATAAGCACTGGAAGTCAGTGCTTATGATTTTACAAATAAGCAAGTTTATTGTTTTCTCACAGGGAATATGTTATGAAAAATAATTTGGACTACTTAAAAAATGTACAAGTAAGTGTTAATAACAGAAGAGATTATTTTAAAAGACAATGATTAATTCTTATTGATAAAAAGAGAACTTTGTTCAACACCAAATCTTTCTGTCTTCTGTAACATTTGCAATGATAACGTATCTTGTGACCAGAGTTTATTTACTTAGACATTTTTACCTAATCGATTAAGCCAGAACCGTTCATAGAGCACACAAGGCGACTGTGAGTACATTTATAATTTATCTCAAGGAGCAGGTACAGTCTCAAACATTCATGAGAAGCTAATATTATTTTATTAAATGGAAGTTCATCATTTAAAGAAAAAATAATATGATATCATGTTGGAAACTTTAAGAAATAGTCTTATAAGAACAATTTTCTATTCTTATCTGGCTAAATAGATAAACAAAACCTCTTATCTTTCTGTAGCTTATTAAGAGAGGTACTTAAGCTTTTTCAGACTTTATTCAGTTTATTTCTGAATGATTAGAATTCACACAAATATAAAATAAGATAAGCACTTTTGCTTATTGACCTACAGCTGCCTAGGAGCTAGAAGACACGGGTACAAGATAATGGAAACCAGGCTGTAGTACTATGGAAATCTGATACAGTTCTTGATGGTTAATAATGACTATAATGTTTTCCTGGAAGCAATTTTGGTAATACATTATAAACACATACAGCTATCAGTGTTTCAGCCTATGTTCTAAGCATATATTAATAAAATAATATAAAATGATTATCTATGTGTATATATGTGAACATATCTATGCATTATTTCAGCAGCTAAATTATCATGCAGACTAATTTAAATAATTTTCAATATGTATTAAGTGTTTACATATATAGGTGCAAAAAATTCCATGGTGCTTAAAACGACTGTTGACATTTAAATACTGACACCATTCCACACTATGTGAGTAGCAGGCATCACTGTTTTTGTAAAATATTTTCCTTCAACCAATCTGTCAATATTTTTATGCATGCACCATAAGCATGTCCCCTCTGGACACTTACCTTTGGCAGGGAAGCCCGGGATCCAGAACTCTGTGTGGTCATAGTAAGCACCGTGGTGATGCCCAAAGCCACCCTTGCTGGGGCAGCATCCATGTTAATCCAGAATGAAACCCAAGATAGAATGACAATCAGAAGGCTGGGAATGTACATCTGGATCAAGTAGTAGCCCATTTGCCGCTCAAGATGGAATCGCACTTCTATGCATGTAAACTTTCCTAATTGTTCATAAAATAAATGTAACAATTAAATAAAAGTCAGGTTTGTTATGTTATAAAATAATCAAATATGACTTAATCTTTACAATAATTTTATTGTAAGATTTTCTGATAAAATGAGGGACATTAAGTCATATAGTCAAATTGTTTTTTTTTTTTTTCTGTTTGTGTCTGGAAGCAATAAGACAAGGGAGGAAACACCTCTAGGACATGGTATGTAATCCTATTTTCATCTTCAAGTAGCTTTTTTTACATGTTAAAGTACACGGAGATCTCTTTCCAGTTTCTGCTGCTTGTTCTGAGGTGGGTAGGACAATGCATGTTTACTGTGTAGAGGTTATCTATAGGTTATCTATATGTTGTCTCTAGAGCTTTCATATGCTTCTTTAGGCAGCTGCTATTTGTTTCAGGAATATTTAGATTTCCTGTAAGTGTTAATAACTGAAGATGACTGGTTTCATTAATAATAATACAAGAGTAAATATGTGTTATTTTGCATTAATAATTTTAAGATAATTTTAAAACCCACTGAAAAACAAATGAGTTACAATCACCATTTAAATATGTGCCTTTGTGCCTCTCTGACATGAGCTCAGTGACTGGCTCTTTGATCACCTCCTTCTGGGAAGAGTGCAGCCTTAACAGGCCACAAAGGAAGACAATGCAGCCAGTCCTGATGAGACCTGATAGGCTAGGGGCAGCTATTCCTGAATATTATGCCAAGATATTGACCTTGTACTTGCTGAAAACATTAGATAACACTTTCATCTTTGAATTGAATATGATATTTTTAAAAATTAGATATTGTGAGTTAGTTAAGGAGATAAGAGAGACTGGAGACTTTATAATATAAAAACTGAGCTCACAATTCTGGAAAATGCTGAGGCCAAAATGAATCATCCTTTACTGTAATGCAATAGTGAGAGTAACTGCTGATCTGAGCATACTAGCATCAGGTCATACACACATCTCATCGGGCAGAAGCTTCAATTGTGGGAAGTTAAGTGTAATTTTTTGTTGGAGTAGGCTTATGGGAATAGCCCACAACAGTTAAGAAAAGTTGGTAGATTTCAGAAGGGTACAATATCACACTGGTATTAGTTAAATATATTGGTGTTAATTAAATATGATATCTACTTGAGATACAAGGTTCCCCTATCAGTCCAGTAAGTAACTGCAGATAGAAATTAATAAGAATATTAAAATAAGTAGAAAATAGAAAAAATAGAAACTTGTTTCAGAATATATGGAAACATGGCAAATTATATTATATAAAGCAAGTCATTCTGTTAGCATATATACTGTTTACTTCCATCAATAGTTTATTTTTCTATAAAAATAAAAAAGCACATTTATTATCATCATATTACCCACATATATGTTCTTTCATATGAATTTTCAAGTGTAACTGCGTATCAAGCATTTCTTTGGTATCATGCAAATTAAGTATGACAAGATACAATGAGTAAAAGCATTCATATACTTTGAAATTATTCATTTTTATATTTCATAAGTATTCCGTAAGCTAAAACAGTTACAATTAAAACATTATACATTTAACAATCTGTATATTATAAGATCATAAATTAAAAGCATAAATAAAAATATTCAGTCCCTACCTGTATTGTAGTGTTTAGTGCAATATCGCAAATCCTTTTCTTCTTTCAACAGAAATTGAGGCAAAGTGAGTCCTTCGGCCACTTGTACTGGTGCTTCATCTTGCCATTCAAATATGAGATCATTCATTGTGTATCCAACTAGACAAAATGTTATAGAAATATTTATAGCCAAAGGAAGGCATTCAAATAGGAGAAAAAAAAAACTTTCCTGTATAGTCACATTGAATGAGAGGATCAGTGTGATGTTATCTGCCAGTTGAACAGTGGTTTACCTGATTCTACATCACAAAAGCCAATCAGCAGTAATGTAAAGCAAGGATGTGGGATCATAAGAACACAACATGGAAGGTAGTATTTATTCTTTCTTTAGGATGGGAAACTCTTGGATTAATTCAGTAGTTTTTAACATTGTTTTGCTATGTTAACTTCCAGGGCTACTCAATAAAGCCAAACAGTACCTCTGTAGAAATGAATGAAAGCACATAAATATCTCTGAGGAAAGTACTAATGCTGGATGCCTCCATTGCTTTAATAATTTCACCTTATTTACCTACTTCTGTATCCCAAATCCAAACATGAACAAAATGATCTTAAAATGTAGGCATCTTCTATTTGGTAGAGATGATTAAAAAGTATGCATGCATTATTTTGACACGGTGGTAATGAATTCAGCACAGACTTAACAAATGAGTTTTTCAGTAAGTCAGCAGCTTATATTAAGTTAAAGCAGCATATTTCTCTTTGGAGGAGCTTAATATAAGCAGAATGTATATTTTTCCAGCTGAATAAAAAATCATGAACATTTATGAGCCAGTGTTATTGTAGTGGAGGACACTATGTTGATGAGAACAGGGCTGTTATTGCACTGATCAGTCAACTCCATAGAGTTTGAAAGAGAAAGTAGACATGATGTGACCCATGAATTAAGTCAATTGGTTAAATTAGTAAATCAGCCACATCTATGAAGCTGTATACAGAGAAGTTTGTAGCAAATTTTCATGCAGTGATTTGTTACAGCTTTTGTGAATAGGTTAGGCAATGGTTAAAGGTGAACTCATCACTCTCCATGCTCTTCCAGAATCTACCAGAGTGGAATCTGATCTAACAGTCCAGGCAATTGGGCGTACTTAGCAGTGTGCACTCCATGGGCAATGGAGATAGCACTGTCAGTGACCAAACCTCTTAGATGGTCATTGATTCAGCTCATAACTATTCACAGGCACCATCGGTATCTTGGCTTATTGTGGAGCAATAAATATTTGGTAGAGTTTGTATGGTAATACAAATGGAAGTGTAACATGTCTAAATTTGGGTTCAAAAAGAGATGTGTAATTATAAGATTATTCTCTAGAGCAGTGCTTCTGAAGCTTCCTAATGCTATGACCCTTTAATATAGCTCCTCACATTGTGGTGACCCCCAACCACAGAATTATTTTCATTGTTATTCCATAACTGTATTTTGGCTGCTGTTATGAATTATAATGCAAACATCTGATATGCAAGCCACAGGTTGAGAACCAGTGCTGTATACCTAACAACTGATTTATTTATACAAGAATACCTTTCAGTAAAACCCCAAATTAAAAGCAATTGAGTTTCTAATAAAAGAGTGCTTCACGAGGTCAAAGTGTCACTATTCGCAGATGATATGATAGTATATATGAGCGACCCCAAAAATTCAACCAGAGAACTCCTCCAGCTGATAAATACCTTCAGCAAAGTGGCAGGATACAAAATCAACTCAAAAAAATCAGAAGCCCTCCTGTTTACCAAAGACAAAAGGGCCGAGAAAGAAATTAGGGAAACAACACCCTTCACAATAGCCACTAATAACATAAAGTACCTTGGGGTGACACTAACCAAGCAAGTGAAAGACCTGTTTGAGAAAAACTTAAAGTCTCTGAAGAAAGAAATTGAAGAAGATCTCAGAAGATGGAAAGATCTCCCGTGCTCATGGATTGGTAGGATTAACATTGTGAAAATGGCCATCCTGCCAAAAGCAATCTACAGATTCAATGCAATTCCCATCAAAATACCAACTCAATTCTTTACAGTCCTTGAAAAAAAGATTCTCAGCTTCATATGGAGAAACAAAAAACCCAGAATCTCCAAAACAATCCTGTACAACAACAGATCATCTGGAGGTATCTCCATCCCCGATCTCAAGTTGTACTACAGAGCAATAGTAATAAAAACTGCATGGTATTGGCATAAAAACAGAAAGGAGGATCAATGGAACCGCATAGAAGACCCAGAAATAAACCCAAACACCTATGAATACTCGATTTTTGACAAAGCAGCCAAAACCATTCAATGGAAAAAAGACAGCATCTTCAACAAATGGTGCTGGTCCAACTGGATGTCCACATGCAGAAAAATGAAAATAGATCTATATTTATCACCCTGCACAAAACTAAAGTACAAGTGGATCAAAGACCTCAGCATAAAACCAGATACTCTAAATCTGTTAGAAGAAAAAGTGGGGAACAGCCTAGAACTCATTGGCACAGGAGACAACTTCCTGAACAGAACACCAACAGTACAGGCTCTAAGAACAACAATCAATAAATGGGACCTCATGAAACTGAAAAGCTTCTGTAAAGCAAAGGACACTGTCATCAAAACAAAACGACTGCCTACAGACTGGGAAAGAATCTTTACTAACCCTTTATCTGACAGAGGAGTAATATCGAGTATATACAAAGAACTAAAGAGGCTGAAAAGCAGCAAACCAAGTAGTCCAATTAAAAAATGGGGAACAGAGCTAAACAGAGAATTCTCGACAGAGGAATACTGAATGGCACAGAAACACTTAAAGAAATGCTCATCCGTAGGCTGTCTATTTGTTTTGATGACAGTGTCTTTTGCTTTACAGAAGCTTTTCAGTTTCATGAGGTCCCATTTATTGATTGTTGCTCTTAGAGCCTGCGCTGTTGGTGTTCTGTTCAGGAAGTTGTCTCCTGTGCCAATGAGTTCTAGGCTGTTTCCCACTTTTTTTTCCAGCTGATGTAGAGTATCTGGTTTTATGTTGAGGTCCTTGATCCACTTGGACTTTAGTTTTGTGCAGGGTGATAAATATGGGTCTATTTTCATTTTTCTGCATGTAGACATCCAGTTGGTCCAGCACCATTTGTTGAAGATGCTGTCTTTTTTCCATTGAATGGATTTGGCTTCTTTGTCAAATATTGAGTATTCATAGGTGTGTGGGTTTATTTCTGGGTCTTCTATGCGATTCCATTGATCCTCCTTTCTGTTTCTATGCCAATACCATGCAGTTTTTATTACTGTTGCCCTGTAGTACAGCTTGAGATCGGGAATGGAGATACCTCCAGATGATCTGTTGTTGTACAGAATTGTTTTGGAGATTCTGGGTTTTTTGTTTCTCCATATGAAGCTGAGAATCTTTTTTTCAAGGTCTGTAAAGAATTGAGTTGGTATTTTGATGGGAATTGCATTGAATCTGTAAATTGCTTTTGGCAGGATGGCCATTTTCACAATGTTAATCCTACCAATCCATGAGCACGGGAGATCTTTCCATCTTCTGAGATCTTCTTCAATTTCTTTCTTCAAAGACTTGAACTTATGACAGGAGTCTACCACAAAAGGCATCTGAAAGACTCTACCTAGCAGTGTTTCAAAGCAGACACTAAGACTCATAACCAAACCCTCGGCAGAGTGCAGGGAATCATATGAAAGAAGGGAAGTTAGTATGATATGGAAAGGATAGGAGCTCTACAAGGACCAAATATATCTGGGCACAGGGTCTTTTCTGAGACTGAAACTCAACCAAGGACCATCTATGGATATAACCTAGAACTTCTGCTCGGATGTGGCCTGTGGTAGCTCAGTAACCAAGTAGTTTTCCAAAGTAAGGGGGACACGGACTATTTCTAACAGGATCTCAAGGGCAGGCTGTTTGACACCTCCCCCCAGGGGAGGAGCAGTCTGTTAGGCCACAGAGGAGGACTTTGCAGCCAGCCCTGAAGATACCTGATAAAACAGGGACAGATGAAAGGGGAGGAGGTCCTCCCCTATCAGGGGACTTGGAAAGGGGCAGGGAGGAGACCAGGGAGGGAGTGTGGGGTTGGGGAGGGAATGAGGGAGCGGGATACAGCTGGGACACGGAGTTAAGAAAATGTAACTAAAAAGAAAAAATAAAAAAAAAAAAAAAAAAAAAAAAAAAA